CGTCATGGAATGATATTCGTGGAAGTCATGGCAAAAATAAAATAAAATCGATGCTCCAAATGTGCTATTTCCAAAAGCATTTTATAGTGCAATTTTGCAAGCACCCTGAACATTCGTCAATGTTTGCCAAAAAAAATCAATTTTTGTTTTTGAGATTTACAGTTCACCAAACTCATTTGAGCTCGAGTTGAGAAACAACACGTCCACAGGCATGGAGTTTTTGAACCCAACTTCACATGCTCTCTGATAAAACAATAAAATAGAAAAAGTAAAAGAAATAAAAAACATGAAAAATCACCATAAACATTGATGAATGTTTTAACTGTGTGCAAATTTTGTAATGAAATGACACTCGTGGAGATCCGGGAAAAAAGCAAGATCGATGCTTTGAAAAGACTATTGTTGGAAGCATTTTGAAGCATCAATTTTGTTATTTTTGCCAAGACCTCTATGACTGTCATTTCATCACAGAATTTTGTGCACAATTTATTCATCAATAAAGGGCAACCTGGTGCATGTAGCTCCCGCTTGCGCAGGGTCCAGGGAAGGGTCCGACCACTTTGGGTCTATAGTACGCAGCCTTTCCCTACATTTCTGTAAGAGGCCGTTTCCAGGACTTGAACCCATGACCTCATGGTCACAAGGCAGCAGCTTTACCACTGCGCCAAGGCTCCCCTTCTACAATTTATTCATCAATGTTGCCACAAAATAAATTCAGAATGTTTTGAATTTTTATCACTTTTTTGGATTTTACTGTTTATCATGGAGCATGTGAGTTCGGGATCAAAAGATCACTTTCGAGGACATAGAGTATTTGAACCCCAGCTCACATTTTGATGAACAGTAAATCAAAAATAATTAAAAAATTGATAAAAGAATCATGATAAACATTGATGAATGTTTCAACCGCGTGCACATTTTTGTGATGCAATGACATTCGTGGAGGTCTGGACATAAAAAAAGATTGATGCTTCCAATGTTATGAGATGAAATGACACTCACAGTTTTTTCTTATACAATGGATCGTCTTTTATGTTACATCTAGCATTGAGGCGATTAAAGTTAAAACTAGAATTTATGCAAAAAAAGAGAGTTAAAACTAGAAAGGTGTGAATAAGAGAAGAACATCTCGTACAAAGAAACAAATGTTATATCTTTCTTTTCAAAATATCATTTCTTAGCTAACAAACATTCTTTTTTCTTTCTCTTTCCCACCTCGTTGGTTAACTTACGTGGTTTCCTCCCAAAACAATTATTCTGTGTATCTAAAGGCACCTCCGACGCGATCTCTCATATCGTGTTGCAAACTTCGAACATAACTATTCGGCTACAGTTTGCCATCTAACATGGTGCAACGGCCACAGTTTGCCATCTAACACGGTGCCTCATGGATCCGTGGACCAATTCGTTTGTCTGAAACTCCACAAATCAGACGAAAACAGGGAGAATTTGTGGGCGTTCAAACCGTTATCACGTCCGCATCCGACACCTTGGACCCATGCAAAAACCTATCTGCCCTAAACCCTTCTCTGCGCATTCATATGTTGGTCAGCATCGCTCCAGAGCAGACATGACTTCAGGACATTGATGTTGGTTAAAGTGATGTGACTGAAAACGGCGTCGCTTCAATGTTGACGCGGTGAAAATGAGAAGTCTACTCCGGCCGGTGCACCGCATTGAAGCAGGCTTCCTGTCCCTCACGTGACCGCGCCTATTTAAGCAAGGCTTTGACGTCGTCCACACCACACCATCCCACTCATCTCCGCTCACAGCCTCTCCGATCCGTGCCGGCCACAGCACAGCACACCATGCCAAAGTCATGGTTGCCCGCATTGTCAGGCGACGACTCCGGATCTTGGCGTCGTTGCCGTCGCACTTCCGAGCCCTCGATCTCCATGATGGCCGCCTCCTTTGAGAAGGAGGGGATCGTCATCTCCTCCGGCGACAAGGAGGAGCAACCGCCGCCGTAGCGACGACGGCGGCTCCTCGTCGTCCCGGAGCATCATGGCAGCAGGAGAGAACGGCCAGGGAGGCGGCGCAATGGGAGCATTCGCAAAGTACTACGATGCGCCAACTTGAGTTTGCATGGACCCATGCCTCATGTAAGCCTGAGCCCGCGACCGGTCGCCGACCACGGCGGGAACGACCGCGTGACGACTACGCCGCCTCGACGGGGAGCTCGTGAAGACCGACGAGGAGAGGTCTCTCAGCGAGACCGCCAACGTCACCACTGCCGGCAGGAGGAAGGGCAAGGCTTCCCAGCCAGGGTCAACGTTGGCCGCGGTGGCCCTCCACACGGTGTAGGAGAAAGCAGAACAGTTTCTCGGTGAGCGCGAAGCGACAGTCGGGTAGGGCTGTCGCATCCCCGCGCCCTTCCAGCGCTGGAAGGACTACTTCGATGATGACACGAACAACTATGAAGGTGTTGCAGGCCAACCCGACCACCCGTACGAGGTTATCATCCGTTACAAGTTATTTTTTAAGGTTTTATTAGTTTAAAGGATGAAATATCGTTTGATTGATGTATGTTATATGTCTAAAATTAAATGAATTTAATCTGTTTACATGAATTTTGTTCAAATTTATTTATATTGTGGGTATGACGAGCCTTACATCATCGGATTTTTTTAACACAGTGCAGACGCAAATGCTCATATATACACGCATATACTCACACCCTATCCTTATGAGCCAGCATATGATCTTAAGATGAACTTACCGTAGACGCCTCGTAGTCGACGAAAATGTCTCTTCCCACTAAACGTGTATCGTCGAAAATTCTGAAATAAATTCAAATGCGAGCACCAAAGACTTGAACCCTGATAGACGGTGGATAACACTATCCACCTAATCATCCAACCACACGTTGCACACGTTGCGCATCATGGGATCTCGTATCACCGTCTGCCTGCAGACGTGTTCACACGCGTCCGCAGTGAAACACTACATCGGCTTTAGCCTTTAGTACTAGACCTGGCCATGAGCTGCCCGGCGGCCAGCCCGGCCTGACCCGGCCCGAAAAAGCCCGACCCGGCCCGGCCCGACACTGCTCCCGGGCCGGGCTCGGGCCTAGATTTTGAGCCCGATGTCCTGGCCGGGCCGGGCCCGGACCCATCATTTTTGCAGTTTTCTGAAGGGGCCCGGCCCGAGGCCCGAGGCCTGGCGGGTTTCTGCATGTTCGGGCCGGGCTTGGGCCCAAAAACTAGGCCCGATGGCCGGGCCGGGCTTGGGCCCAGATTTTTTGGCTCGGGCTTGGCTAGGCCCGGCCCGAAGCCCGGCCCGGCCCGAGGTTTGGCCAGGTATATTTAGGACCTAACGCACCGAAAATGCTAAATCAACGGGCTCTTTACGGAGCATTACGGGCCATTGCCTTAATTCTCTTCACCGCCCCCTCCCCCCGCCTGATTTTCAGGTGGGTGGGACCTGTCCCATCCCCTTAAACCAATTATAATGTGTCAAATCTCAACCACTCCGTAAAATCTCTGTAAAAATCCGTGAATGTAGCATTACTCCCTAAGAGCATTTCCAATGGCCGCACGAAACGACGCGCGCGCGGTAAACACAGCCTTTAGCGCGCGCGGGGCGTTTTGCCACGCTCCAGCGGCGGCGGAAAAACCACGCGCGCGGAAACCGTTTGCGCGTGCGCGAAAAGGCGCTAGCTCGCGCGTCATCTTTTGCGCGCCGCTTCCGGCGCGCCTATAAAGTGCGGCGCGCGCCACGCGCCTCTCCACGTCTCCTCTTCTCCTCTTCCTCTCTTTCTGCCACGCGCCGCTCCAGCGCCCCGCCACCGACGCGCCTCCGTTGCCCCGGCGTCCCGCCACCGACGCGCCGCCATGCCGCCGCGCCGCCGAGGAGCGTTCGGCTACCGCGGCGTCCGCCTGCGCCCCAACAGCGGCTACTACGCGGAGATACGCTCCGGCGATCTCCGGCTCGGCCTCGGCACGTACGGGACGGCGCACGAGGCCGGCCGCGCGTACGACGCGGCGGCGTGACGCCTAGGCCGGCCGCGCGGCCAGATGAACTTCCAGGATGTCTACACGCTCCAGCAAGTGCTCGACCGTGCCCCGCCGCCGCGTCTGAACACGGCACAAGACCGTGCGGAGCACGCCGAGCGGCAGCGCCGCCTCCTCGTCGCCCAGGAGGACGAGCGAGTCATGGCGGAGTGGCGGCGCCGCCACCCGGAGGACGTTGCCTACGAGCAGTCCTACTGGGCAAGGCGTCGCGAGGAGGACACGCGAAGGCGCCGCGAGGCGCGATTAGACAGGCGTCGGCGCAAGGCGTTGGCGAACGCGCAGTCCGATCTCGTTGAAGCAGGTGAGCAGTCGTTCTTCACGCCGGATGATGATTGGTGGTTGGACATCTGGCTGGATACCTCGAACGACACCGCCGAGAAGGATGACGATAGTGATGATAGCGACTTAGACTAGTTTTTTTTATGCAATCTATCTCGTGTTTTATCGTTTGTCGTTTTTAATTATTATGCAATCTATGTTTCCGATGTAAAATACCTTTGTATCGTTAATCTATGCAATCTATCTATTTTCCAATAGTCTAGAATGAGCACGCGCGCTGCTTTTTTGCGTGCTGCTGGAGCGGCGCGCGCGCTGCATTTTATCGTGGCTGCTGGAGCAGGCTTAACGCGTCGCGCCAAATCAGCCGATGCGCGCATGGCATATGTGTTTTTTGCGCGGCGCGCCCGGCGCCTGTTGGAGATGCTCTAACGCACTGTACACGCCCTTGCCGTCGGCTACCAAAGCAATGAAACGCATGAAGTCTTCCTCCGGGTCGTCGACTTTGTCGCCAACCTCACTCGAACTCCTCGCCGTCGACGGCTCTCCATTCCCGCCTTCACTCACCGCCTTATCCCCTCCCACCGCGGACGCAGAGGAGACCAGCCACCCGCTGTCTCGCCGCCGGATTAGGCCGCTGATCGAGTTCGCGCACTCGCTTCGACCGGCCTCTTCCTGCCCGGCGCCGCGCCGAGGCAGGTGGAGGACGAGATGGCGCTCCGCAGGCAGCGGACGTTGAGGTGAACCGCGGCAGCTAGCTCTTGGATCTGTTTTCTTTCGGTCAGGGGTCCAGCATTTACGACCGTGCCCAGCAGGATCAGTCTGATTCCTATTATTTCCTTAAAAAAAGTCTGATTCCTATTATTATTATTAGTCTATTATATAGATCATGCACGTATGTGTGTTATTAATTTTTTTGACTTGTTAAGCTATACTAAAATTAGCATATGTGGGTAAAGTGAAAGGCAGCACCACCTAAACTAAAACTGTTGGTGGATAACTAAAAATTATTTAAAGTACTCTGCTTACTTGACATAGAAAGAAGAATATTTCTTCTGAATTGTAAATAATCATAGTCCATGTTGTTAGTAAGGAACAAGAGTCCAATTTGTCGTGCACGGTTCAGATGTTGGGGAAATCTGGTGCTAGGGTCCAACCAATTTTCTTTTTGTGCTGCTGCCATTCACAGGTTTGATGAGGAGATGGGGATGCCGCCGCCACCAATTCAACAGGAACAGGCAGCATTACCTGCTAGTATTGCTGTCGCGAGCTCAGGGGACATACCAATTCAACAGAAACAGGCAGCATTCCCTGCTATTAAACTTGGTGTCGCGAGCTCAGGGAACAACAAGATTTTTGATCCATCAAGTGGCTTCATCTTGACATGGAACTGCATTTTCCTTTTTTCATGCTTGCTTGCTCTATTCGTAGACCCCCTGTACTTCTACGTGCCAAAAATCGTCTACGGCACCCCCTATTCATGTGTCGGGACAGACAGGCATTTAACCATCATCGTTACATTATTACGATCAATTACCGATCTTTTATATGCGAGTCACATCATACTAAAGTTCAGAACTGCAATTTTTAAGAAGAGCTCAACCTTGGGGATTTCTAAAGGAGGATATTTCGTCAGAGACCCTAGAGAGATTGCATGGAAATATTTGAGATCTGACTTTGCAATTGATGTGGTGGCTGCACTGCCTTTGCCACAGGTAACTTGCTAGTCCTCTTTTTTGTTCCAAGTGGAATGCAAGTAGTTCTAATGAAGTAATGATGCCTGGTTTTAGGATGTTTGTCATGTAAGTATTTGCAAATCTTAAATCTTATTTAACATGGATATGCTATACAAAGTGTGAAATTGTAAGATAGGGATGAACTCAAATAATTTTCTTCATCGCAGTTGCAATCCTAATTTTTTGTGAAAATAAAAGTATATATAGTTCTGTTTGAGTTCAGCACTGCATTGGACACGATGAAGAAATACTATATAGGTTCAACCATTCTCTCTCTAAATGAGCCCTTGGGATTGTCTGTAAAGGACATTCTAGAAAAAGATTACCTGAAATTAAATTTTGCACTTTCAGTAGAGTGGATTATTTCAGAACTTCGAGGGGCCTCAACCTGATGGTGAGATCCTGCACCCATGTTCGTATCAACTTATGTGACTCTGTGGTTCAACCTGGGCGAATTTCTTCCCTAACAAAATTCAAGAATCTTTTTTTGTGTGAACAAAATTCAAGAATCTAATGCAGAAATCGTGGAGCTTATGAGACAAACCACTGAACTTTTTTTTTCATTCACATACTCCCTCTGTCCCCATTTACATGGCGCACACATATTTCTAGGTTCGACTTTAACCATCAGTTTGACCAACAAAATGTGAGTTAGGTGTCACAAAAATTATATCATTCAATTTATGTTAAAATGTAGCTTCCAAAAGTATAAGTTTTATGACATAATAATTAAGATAACGTTGGCAAAATTGATGGTTAAAGATTAATCATGGAAAACGAGGGCGCCATGTAAATATGGACGGAGGGAGTACAATCATTGTGAATTATCTATGTTCTGCAAGGGCAAATAATGTATTGTTATGTGCAGCCTGGAAGCACTGCATCTCAATTTCTCGTTTATTTATTCTACTTATGTATCTTTACTTAATGTGCAGATCATAGTCTGGTATTTGATACCAGCTATCAAATATTCCAACGCTGAGCCCAGCGATAACATTCTGGTGCTTATAGTTCTTGCTCAGTATCTTCCAAGACTATATCTCATATTCCCTTTAACTTATGAAATTATCAAAGCTACTGAAGTTGTTGCAAAGACTGCCTGGCAAGGGGCTGTATACAGCCTGTTGCTTTACATGATAACTAGTCATGTACGGTATCTACATGCTTTTATAGGCAACCTTTCATCATTTGATATGTATTGCAATTTTCTTAGGATCCCCTGCTCCTGTTCATTTAGGTACTAGGTGCAGTATGGTACTTGCTATCCGTTGATCGCCAAACAGCCTGCTGGAAAATGAGTTGCAGGAATGAAACTGGGTGTGATATTAGGTACCTAGATTGTGATATGGCACCAAATCAGAAATGGGCTAGTACGACTGATATCTTCCATAGCTGCAATGCTAGTGATACCAGCATCACATTCGACTATGGCATGTTCCTGCCTGCACTGTCAAATCTAGTGCCTGCTCAGGGTTTCTTGATAAAGCTCTTCTATTCCCTTTGGTGGGGTTTACAGAATCTAAGGTATTTCTGCACTGGACATCTTCATATCAAACTATAGTACTAAGTGAGAACTTACATTGCAATTTCCTTTACAAACAGTTGCTCTTTGATACCGTTATAATTAGAAACAGAGGGCGTATTTACAAACAGTTGCTCTTTATATTTCTCCCCATTCCTAAATGTAAGACGTTTAAATTAAGCTGCCAAAACGTCTTATATTTAGAAACAGAGGGTGTATTATGTAAGTTGAAAGCTTCCATAGAATCTTACTCTTTCAGTTTCGGCTGAACCTTGTCGGTATTCGTAAGTGGCTCTCTAACATGGTATATCTCCCTTCCATGTTCTTGACAGTTGCTATGGCCAGACTATTTCTGTTAGCACCTACATTGGTGAGACACTGTTCGGTATATTCTTGGCAGTATTCAGTCTTGCCTTGGAATCATCCGGCCTGGTCTTGTGTGTGTATTTGATTGGAAATGTGCAGGTACATTTTACATACTTACTTACGCTCTATATTGTAGAAGTTCATTATTCATGTGCATGAAACTTATCATTTTAATCAGAATGTATAAATGTAAACTGTTTTTTTAGAACATACTATCTTACATTGTTATTACTGCAGACCTCCCTCCAATCTATCACTGTGAGGGAGGATGAGTGGAGATTAAAGCAAAGAGATACGGAGGAGTGGATGACATACCGTCAACTTCCTGGTGAACTGCGGGAAAGAGTTAGAAAATTTATTCAGTACAAGTGGCTTTTAACTCGAGGTGTGGATGAAGAGTATATATTTCAGGTTCTACCAGAGTATCTGCGACGTGAAATAAGACGCCACCTTTGCTTGGATCTTGTTCGCCGGGTAAATACTTGTACACGATTATGTGGAAATACATAACGAATGAACTAGACTTTTTATTTTGAATTTTCAAATGCACTAGACTTGTTATCATTTGTCATGTGCTAATCTCTCTTCTATTATGAGGTTTCAGGTTCCGTTTTTCTGCCAGATGGATGACCAACTTCTAGATGCCATCTTTGCGCGTCTTGTATCATCACCGTGCACAAAGAGCACATACATTATCCGTGAGGGTGATCCGGTGACTGAGATGCTCTTCATCATCCGTGGGAAACTGGAAAGGGCCTCAACAGATGGTGGCCGCACAGGCTTCTTCAATTCAGTTCTCCTGAAATCTGGTGATTGCTGCGGCGAGGAACTTCTTGGATGGACTTTTATCCCGGAACCTACCAGTTTGCCAACAGCCACCTGCACAGTGAAGGCGCTCACAGACGTGGAGGCCTTTTCACTTCAGGCTGAGGATCTCAGGTTCGTGGCCAGCCAATTCGGGCGGTGGCATAGCAAGAAGCTGCAGCACACTTTCCGCTACTACTCACCCCATTGGAGAACATGGAGTGCGTGCTTCATCCAAGCTGCTTTGCGGCGGTACATGAGGAGAAAGATGGAGAAGGGCCTGAGATCAGAAGACTCGAATGGTGAAGAAGGGCCTCCACGGAAGAATAATCTCTAAGAATGATGGCCGTGAAAATAATGGCTGGGAACTTTAAAGGGCTTCAGGCCATAAAAGACCTGTCTACACTAAAGAAGCCGGAGGAGGAGCCAGATTTCCCAGCTGAACCTTATGTATAAGGTAGTAACTTATATCCTGTCCATAACGGACACTGATCCTGCTAGCTCTGCTGCCAGTTAGTCAGTCTTTGCCGCATGGAGGGGACCGTAATCCGGTTAGAATTAGGATTCACAGAACCGGCCGTTGATCTGAGGATGCTAGGAGATGCTAATTACTCTACGTTGTACATTCAGATGTATCTGTGTTTGTAACATCATTGGCACGCGCCGCTATGCTGACTGCCAGAGTTCTAACGTTGAAGCCATAGTCTGACCTTGCTATTCTTGTTTAAGGTATGAGCGACTCCACTTCGTTATCAGCAGCTCTGATGCAGAGGCTGGGGACAATCTTCCTTTTCTATTTATTTAAAAAAAACTTCGATATCAGCATCATTTAGGTTCTGGATATGCTTTCCATTACGCTTTCAATAACGCTATATGCTGTTACAGTGGCAGCAGTGACCTATGGAGGATTTGGACGACAAATTTGAAACCTGTGCTGGCAATCATATTTAGTGGCCGAGTGCGGAGGCCGGGCTATGCATGCGTGAATCTACTTAAGGTTGTAATAAAGCATGTTTATTTGCAAGAGAGATAGAGAGGAAAAAGACAGGCTGCGTGAGGTGGCAGGCACCAAAATTCCTGTGTTCTTCTGTTCTTGTGTGCGAGGTGTGTGAAATAGCTGAGAGGAAAAAGAAGGGAGCGGGCTATTAGCTCCAACAAAGCATCATTGAAGGTTGTCGTTTATCTGCAAATGGGCGCAATTTTTTAGCGGCAAAAGTACATGCAATTTTTCAGCAGCAAGAATTATTTTTGCAATTTTACCACTATTTTCTACCATGATTCCTAATGTTTTATATCTGTATAAGAGCACGGAAAAAAGATCTGGCCACAAATCCTCATCCAAGATATGTCATGCTATTGTTTGCAGTTTGGTTCATGTTCCTTGGTTTGGAACTACTAATGACATCTTGGCCGAAACGTTTCTTCTGAATTTATACGAATGATCATTAAGTATTCATCATCCTTTTGTCATAACATAATAATAAAGTTCATAGTGTGGTCAAAACAAAATTGAAAAAATGGACATGGAGTTTCTTAGCCCGAGCTCATATGAGCTCGGGTGAACAGTAAAATAAAAAAAAATGAAAAACTTTTCAAAAAATTCTGAATTTTTCTAGTAACAAACACTAACAAAAGTTTTCAACGCTTGCAAAAGTTCATCGTGAAATGATATTTTTAGAAGCTGTGGCTAAAAAAATGATGCTCCAAAAATGCCATTTCCAACAGCATTTTGGAGTGATGTTTTTTTTTGCCACGGCTTATACAGATGTCATTTCACCATGAAATTTTGTAAGCATTGAAAACTTTTATCAATGTTTGTCACTAAAACTTTTTAGATCCTTTTTATTTTGTTTTCAATTTGTTTTTACTGTTCACCTGAGCTCATTTGAACTCGGGAGTAGAAGAGTACTTTCATGAATGAACTTTTTTTTGCGAGAAAACTTTCAATCTATTCATCAACTGTTAAAGTAGTACAAAGAACACCAAAAGTAAAAAATTACATGCATGTTCTTACATCACCTAGCGACGACTACAAGCACTGGAGCGAGCGGAAGATGTGCCGCCGTCATCGCCCCTCCAACATTGGAGCTGAGCAAACCTTATTGTAGAAGACAGTCAGGAAGTCATCGTGCTAAGACCCCAGAGGACCAGCGCACCAGAACAACAACCATCGCCAATGAAGAGAAGTATAGATCGGAAGCATCCAACTTGTAAACACACGAATATAGACGAACGGAGATCGGATCCACCAAAGACGAACGATGCTAGAAGCACCACCAGGACAGGAACTAGGCGTGGAGAACCTTATTCGTCTTCAGAAAACCGTCGTCGTCTCGCATTCCTGAGCAGAACACAAACACTAACAAAACTCAAAAAACACTTAAAAACGAAGCCCTTCCGCCGGCAAAGACCGGGATCCACCACATCTTCATGACCCTAAGGTCAAAGAAGATGAGGCAGGCCGGCAGCTGCGCAGCGGGAGACAACATAAACCCCTAGGGATGGCTGCCCTTGTGCGTACGAGTGGGGTACCGACCAAATTGAAATAACTCTTAAGAACCAAAGTAACAAAAGACTTCCAATGGTTGAATGTTAAATCAACAACTTTATGTGTCATGCAGTGAGCACTAAAGCATTTTTTGCATTACGACCAACCCTTATCGTCTTGTTGGAGTGTATTATGGCAAGCGACCCGATCCGTGCGGTGAGTCTCTTCTTCAACAAAATCTTCTGCCTTTTAGTCCAGGGGAACCTGGTCGGCTTCTTTCCTGACAGTCGCCGCACTTCAATTCCGACCTACTATACAAGAACATGTCCTCTAACTGTTGGGGAACGTAGTAATTTCAAAAAAAAATTACGCACATGCAAGATCATGGTGATGCATAGCAACAAGAGGGGAGAGTGTTGTCCACGTACCCTCGTAGATCGAAAGCGGAAACGTTAGCACAACGTGGTTGATGTAGTTGTACGTCTTCACGATCCGACCGATCAAGTACCGAACGTACAACACCTCCGAGTTCAGCACAAGTTCAGCCCGATGACGTCCCTCGAATTCCGATCCAGCCGAGTGTTGAGAGAGAGTTTCGTCAGCACGATGGCGTGGTGATGATGATGATGTTCTACCGACTCAGGGCTTCGCCTAAGCACCGCTACAGTATTATCGAGGTGGACTATGGTGGAGGGGAGCACCGCACACGGCTAAAAGATCAAACGATCAATTGTTGTGTTTATGGGGTGCCCCCCTGCCTCCGTATATAAAGGAGCAAGGGGAGGAGGCGGCCGGCCAGGGAAAGGCGCACCAAGGGGGAGTCCTACTCCCACTAGGAGTAGGACTCCTCCTATTCCTAGTAGGAGTAGGAGAGGGGGAAGGAAAGGGAGAGGGGGAGAAGGAAAGAGGGGGTCGGCCCCCTTTGCCCTAAACCAAATCGGTTTGGGCCTTGGGGGGCGCGCCCCACACTCCCCGTGTTGCCCTTTATTTCCATTAAGGCCCATGTAGGGCTATTAAGCCCCCGGGGGGTTCCGGTAACCTCCCGGTACTCCGGTAAAATCCCGATTTCACCCGGAACACTTTCGATATCCAAACATAGGCTTTCAATATATCAATCTTCATGTCTCAACCATTTCAAGACTCCTCGTCATGTCCGAGATTACATCCGGGACTCCGAACAACCTTCGGTACATCAAAACATATAAACTCATAATATAACCGTCATCGAAACGTTAAGCGTGCGGACCCTACGGGTTCGAGAACTATGTAGACATGACCGAGACATGTCTTCGGTCAATAACCAATAGCGGAACCTAGATGTTCATATTGGCTCCCACATATTCTACGAAGATCTTTATCGGTCAAACCGCATAACAACATACGTTGTTCCTTTTGTCATCGATATGTTACTTGCTCGAGATTCGATCGTCGGTATCTCAATACCTAGTTCAATCTTGTTACCGACAAGTCTCTTTACTCGTTCTGTAATACATCATCCCGCAACTAACTCATTAGTTGCAATGCTTGCAAGGCTTAAGTGATGTGCATTACCGAGAAGGCCCAGAGATACCTCTCCGATAATCGGAGTGACAAATCCTAATCTTGAAATACGCCAACCCAACAAGTACCTTCGGAGACACCTGTAGAGCACCTTTATAATCACCTAGTTACGTTGTGACATTTGGTAGCACACAAAGTGTTCCTCCGATAAACGGGAGTTGCATAATCTCATAGTCATAGGAACATGTATAAGTCATGAAGAAAGCAATAGCAACATACTAAACGATCGGGTGCTAAGCTAACGGAATGGGTCAAGTCAATCACATCATTTTCCTAATGATGTGATCTCATTAATTAAATGACAACACTTTGTCTGTGGTTAGGAAACTTAACCATCTCTGATCAATGAGCTAGTCAAGTAGAGGCATACTAGTGACATACTGTTTGTCTATGTATTCACACATGTATTATGTTTCCTGTTAATACAATTTTAGCATGAATAATAAACATTTATCATGATATAAGGAAATAAATAATAACTTTATTATTGCCTCTAGGGCATATTTTCTTTACTAACCGCCGCAGCCATAACACGTTTGACATAACTAACAAAGTAATCTTCAAATTCAAAGCCAAAGATGACGAGTGTGACCAAATTGTGGTGCTGGAAATTAGTTGCGGCCGAGCCCCACTCTACACCCTTGTTCTTGCTATAGAATTATTTTTCCTCTTCTCCTCGTCCATTTCCATTGAACACAAATCATCCCATAACTGCCTGTCAACAATGGGAGAAATATAAAAATAAACTATCAATGAGCACCCTTGTTCTGGCTAAAATAGATCTTTAGGTAAGCACATAGTGTAATGTATAGCTCCTTCAGTAAGGGCACGGCTTCAAGAATGAACATTGTCCAGGTGAGATCACACCCTTCAGGAAGTTTAACTAGATCCACAAACCTTAGTTGGTGGAACACAGATGCCAGAGTTTGCGCCGGACATTATGGTTGCGCCCAAATCTGAAAGTATATGAAAGTGATTAGTAGCAATTTAGGCTATGCAGAATATGAAAGTGATCCTAGCAAGGCCAAGGTGAGACAACAACATATATGATGCTTGCAAGGTAGAAGTAAATGAGTTAGGGTTAACCAAATAACCGTGGAGACGGGGATGTATCCAGATATTCACTTTCTTGAAGGGGAACCTATTCATCATTGGAGGGGCACATGTTACCACGAAGGCCCATGCTATTCTCCTTGAAATATCACCATAAAGACGATTCTCAATCACTAGTAGTAGACCTTGGGATGACCTCCAAACCAGTAGGGGTAGTCAAGGAAGTGGCATGCGGCATGGCGGCTATTAAGCGACTCTCTTTTCGGTGGAATAATAGTTGTGTCATTGGCAGGACAGTCACACATACAGCTACGACATTGACATAAATAGTCACGAGAGGAAGAAATTGGTTGAAACTTTCTTTCCATCCGGACGGTTGGCTTTGGATTGCATATCAACACTTCCAGCCTCTAATTTTAAAGGCTCGTGGAATCTTTGAAGCCGCCTTCAAAAATTATGGGGAAAGATACGATGGTTATACTAGACCTGCTTTTATGTCTCAAACACTAAACGAGTGATTATTATGACGACATAACACTGTCAAAATTGCTCTAACCATCCACGCATCCATGCACGATATGAAACTCACTATCACAGGCAAATTTCAAACAAGTGCACAAAAAGAATTATAGTAAGTTGACATGTTGCTGCAAAAATAAACCCAAATATTAAGTGTCATACGTGTGGTACGAAGCACTCCGAAGTTGAGTTTTTTTACAAATAAAGCTACCATCCGAAAAGAAAAACAAACAAAAAAAAGACGAAACATGCCATCTGAAAAAAAGTTGTCATGCCTGACAACTAAAATTGTCACCCTCGTGTCACTAAACTTGCCATAAAAAAAATGTTCAAAGTTGTCATGTGTTCATGCCACACGTGTGACACTTATTGAAGTACAAAATCAAACCATTAACCAATGAAATGAAACGAGATGATTATTGTAAAGCCTGTCTACTGCTTCCTTTCAACACGATGAAGCCAGTTGCAATCGGCAACCCTCTAACTTATACTTGTGTCATTCCTTTATACTTTTTTCGTTCCTAAATATTTGTCTGTCTAAAGATTCCAACAAGTGACTACATATAAAGCAAAATGAATGAATGTACACATTAAAATATATCTATATACATTCGTATGTGGTATTTCATTTGGAACCCTAAAAGATAAATATTTAGGAACGGGGGGGTATATTTTAAAAATAACAAATCCGCGGCCTTCTATAGAAAAGAAAACTTCTAGACGAAAGAAAGTCGCACCAAGACACGACCAGAATTCATTCACCGGTGCGGTGTCGCCACGAGCACCGTGGATATAGAAGCACGATAGAAAGAGTCGACCGCGGACATGCTTCCCTTTGGTTCGAAGCAAACCGGCCGGCCACCAACCAACCAACGCTCCCGAATCTATCCATCATATCAAACCTTCCGCCGCCGGTGAGCTACCCGCAGCGCCGGACTGCCGCCCGCCCGCCCGCCCTGCTCTGCTCCGGTTCTCTCCGCTCCTCCGCCCCTCCGCCGCGAGCTCCCGGAGACCCAACGGAGAAGGGAGGGGAGAAGAAGCAAAGCCTCGGACATGGCACGCGTCCTCCCTCTGGGTATCGAGCCCGGGGAGGCGCACAGGTAGCACCCCGTCCTCCCGAGCCACCGCATGCAGTTTCTGCTTCTTTTTATTTATTTTCCTGCTCGGATTTCGCCATGCTTGTTGTTTTTATCCGTGGAGCGGAGCTATTTTTGGAAATTCGGTGCTCGGCGATGTATGCCTATCGTCGAGGCGAAAACCTAGCCCTCGAGGCCGCCACAATAAAGCCGCCGCTCCTCTCCTCGCCGGTGGCGCCGGGGCCTCTAGGCCGTCCCCCTTCCGCCCCCGCGGATCCCTTCTCCCCGACCTCGTCGCCGCGCTCGTCCTGGACGGCGACGGACGCCGGCTAGATGGCCAGCTTGGTTAATGTCATCCTTTTTCCCCATTCTTGCTCGTCTAATAAATCCCCGCCTCCTTAAAAATTATTGTTTGTGCATCTCATAGACAAAATAAATTCTAGTACTGCAAGTATGCCATATCTGCACTTTTTAGTTTGATGCGTGGGGTGAGGTTGGGGGGGATTGGGGATGGATGTTGATCCAAGGGTTTCGAAAGATTTAAGAATCGTTGTTCAGGCAACTTATGAGTATGTTACATCCTGATGTTGGCTGCTCTCAGATTATCTAATCTTATTTTCCTTTGGATCGTTGCTTCCCTGTGGCCAAATATCATATCATGGTTTTAAAGATAACAGGAGCCTAGGATTCATTTAGGAGCACATATCTCCACTCCTAATTTCACTAGGATAACAGGTGTCGCATTACTCGACGTTTTTCTTTGATAATAGTTTAATGCTGTATCCAGTTTGGGAATCTTACTTAAACTAGCATGTTACATCCATCCATGCTGCTTTTAACTATCATGATTCAGTCACTGTTTGTTAACACTACACCATGCTACCCAAACCAGTGCATTTTGAGTTCAGTAATATGTGGGTGAATAAGCTGTAACCCCGATTGTTGTTTTAAGGAAATAACATGGAGTTGGGCCTGTGTGACTCTAATTTAGATAAGGATCTGTCACATGTCAACCTTAACCTTACATCTATGACACGAATTAATAACATCTCTACATTCGTGGGCAGCATCAGTACCTATATTTGATAATATTTCCTGGCTTGTAAACAGAGCTGGTGAGACGGTTGCTAGCACGCCAAGCTCTTCAGCTGTGGTGTCATGCAATAGAATTGAGCATTCTGAGCAAAACATAAAGGACGACGAATACGCGATGCTGATGACGCCAGCTCAACATGCAACGGCTGACAACAACACAGAAATTTTACCTCAGCAACCCAAGTCAAGTCACTTCAGTTGGTGGATGACAGCTCTGCTTGTCTGCTTCCTTCTTATAATGGCAACTTATATCTTTGTGAAATTTGGAGCCCCCTTTGCCTTTGAGAAGGTGGGTGCTGATACCTTCTCTGCAAAATAAAATTTCTTCCTTACAGGGTAATTTTAGGCAGCTCACTGAATGCCAGTCGACTTCCATTCTTCTTGTTACCTTTCACTGAATTTCACGAAATGCATTTCAGAACCAACTGATGTTGGCTCATTGGTTGACTCTTCGGTAGTTAGCCATTTGGGGATGTGATCTTTTGCTTGGTCTGTATCGGTCCATAGGCTTTTTTTATATAATAATCAGGTACTTTAAGGTGGCATGCATCTATAAATTCCATGGGACAATCATAAAGCTTCAAGTCGTTATCACACTGCTCATTTTTATGTTTGGTTGTCCTTCAATATACTTGAATAGCAGTATAGCACCAGTGAGGCATTCAACTTAATACTTTTGGTTTTTGTCGAACATGTCTGTTATATGTTTCCTTTTGTCACATCTGCTTAGATCTCAAGCATATGTTCAGAGTCCAGCTTGTAATTTTCAGGAATTACTGTTACACCATTGACATGAATATTCTGGTTGGTTCATATAATTAGAATGCTATTTGTTTAGTGAATGCATATGTGGCATACTGAACTTTGGGAGAAATTTTAGTTGTATGTATGAAAATATCAATTGTGTCATGTTTTTGAGCTATGTTGTGCATGTGTACTCTTTAATCTTATTCTCTCTTTTTTATGAAGAAGATTTTGAGTTGGGTTGTTGAAACAGAACATCTACGCTAATATGTATATATGTATTTTCTTGTGTTTGTTACTTGCAGATTCTTTTTCCAATCATGAAATGGGAAGCAAGTGCCTTTGGCCGTCCAGTATTGGCTCTTGTCCTCGTCGCATCTTTGGCTCTCTTCCCACTCATTTTAGTCCCCTCTGGACCTTCTATGTGGTTAGCAGGAATGATCTTCGGTTATGGTTGGGGTTTCGTGATTATTATTGTTGGGACTACTCTTGGCATGGTTGGGGCATATTGGATCGGCTCATTGTTCCGCGAGCGACTACATGTAAGATTCCTCAGACTTGCATCTTTTCTCTACCTGAGGAGCTGTGTCTTAATATCTTCTCTGTTTTGTTCCTTTTTTTCAATGCAGGCATGGTTAAAGAGATGGCCTCAGCAGATAGCTCTAATAAAGCTTGCTGGCGAAGGGAGTTGGTTCCACCAGTTTCGAGTGGTTGCACTATTCAGAGTCTCACCGTTTCCATACTCGATTTTTAACTATGCCGTGGCCGTGACAGAAATCAAATTCAGCCCTTATGTATGTGGTTCAGTTGCCGGAATGACACCTGAGGCATTCATCTATATCTATAGGTATATACAGATATCCACATTACAGATTATGGATTTACTAAATTCCGCTTTATCATTTTGTCATGACTATTGAGGCCATGCATCTAGGTTTATTGTGCATCTGTCATCTGATTAATGCCCTTATATAACAAAATAGTACATGGATTGCTGATCGTTAACCAATTCTTTTCTAGTAGAGCGTGCAGTATTTGGTAGACAAGCGTCATAATCTATACATTTCTGCTCTTGATAAGCAGGAGTTTTCTTGCTGCCGATTTAAGCTAGACTGTAGTAACCCAAACAGAGACATCTCTCAAAGTAGTGATGACTTACTGATCTTGCTTAATGCTTATGCAGCGGGCGGTTGATACGTACGTTGGCCGATGTGAAGTATGGCAAGCATAAGTTGACTACAGTGGAGATAGTCTACAGCATAATCTCGTTCGTCGCTGCCGCTGCCCTCACGGCCGCCTTCACAGTTTACGCCAAAAAGTCGCTAAACAACATAAAAGGCCCAGATGATATCTCAGAGGACCACCAACCTGCTGCTGGCTCTGCTGGGGTGACTGCACTAAAAAATGGCCATCAGGACGTGCATATCCTGTAGCTTTTACATGTCGTATGATGTCTGTATTCATTCAATTCACCAGAGAAAAATAGGTAGCTAGGCTCTGACAGCAGGTGGATGCACCTGTCTAACTAGATAAATATGTATGGTTTTACTACTCCCTCTGTTCACTGTTATAAGGCGTGTAGACGTGCAAAACAACTCGATTTCAGTTGTCTGAAATGACTTATAAAAATGAAGGGACATTTACATCTCTGCCCCTAACTCGAACCCACTACTCAGTTTTGCCCCTAGTTTTCGGGTATGCTCAGTTTTGCCCCTCTGCCGTCAATGCCACTTATAGAAATGCCCCTCCGCTCCGTTTCCGTCCAGTCAAGGCTGTTTGACCGCTAACTTGCCGTCAGTTTGACATATTTGCCCTTCTTTCTTACATGTGGCCCCTCTCTTACCTCTTCGCTTCACTCTCTCTCTGTTCTCTTTCTCTCGCTCGACCCTAACCCTAGCTCTGTCTTCCCCAAATCGCCCCCTCACCTGAACCCTAGCGGCTTCGATCCCCACCATGGAAAACTCCAGATCAATGGCGGGCACGGTGGAGATTCGGTCGACCTGACTCTTTATGCGAGCTGTGCTGCGATTCGGAGCCAACCGCTGCGGATGGAGGTCGATGGTGGTTGCGGCGCCGGCGGCGGCCATGAAGGGAGCACAAATCCGAAGGGGTAAGTGCAGTACTTTCAGATCTGAAGCCTGCTATACGTATTGTAGTTCGTTTTGATTCCTAGTGTTCATCTGCGTTCGTAGTGCTCATTTGGTT